AAGTACTAATGCTTGATTTTAGCTAAGGTCTTGCTGCTGCGACTGCTTTTACCATTTACAAATAAAATAAATCCTGTCTAAAATCCAGTAGTGCCCATTGGAGCTTTCCTGTTGTGAAACTATTGCAGTGTCTTTAAAAAACATGAAAATATTATAAAGTCTTACTCTAGTCTGAGTATAGACACTGTAAAAATGGTACTGTGGGGTTTCTCCTGTGCGTCTCAGAGATTGCACTTGACATGTAGACATAAAACAGAAAAAAACAATAAGGGAAGTCTGTTGCATTATTGGTACAATGAAGTGATCGGTCTTAAAGAGAATGTTAAACTACCCTTATGGCCACCCAGAAAACTCCAGCAAGAAGCCCTTCAGCCACTCTACATTTCTCACTGGAAGGAGATACAGCCATCCATGTCCTCTGCCTCCTGTCCTTCAGGGCAGACTCAGGGGCTCGCTTGCAGCACTCCGAAGCCCTGCCTGTGCTGGACACCACTTCCCAACGTACCCAATGTGCTGTTTTACAAACTGCCTCCGTGCTGTAACCCAGCACTGTCTCCTACAAATATGTTGAGAGGATAACTGGACTTTTTGGCAGCTGAGGGTGTGGTGGGGAAAAAAGGTATGGTATTGACCAGGTTTACTTTAAGGAAAAGTTTCCATCCAAACCTGAAGGAGTGATGAGCCCCAACCTGAGTAAGGCAGTCAGAACTAGTAGGATGAAGCACAGGAGTATAACCATAGTAAATGAAATGAAGGCACATCTCTGGAGGAATAGGGTTGTAGCTATCAGCATCCCATTGTGCCTCTGTTCATCAGTTTATAGCTTGTAGGAGAGAAGAAGGGGAAGCAGAAAGACCTCGTGCAATGAAACACTTCAGCACCAAAGCTAAAGGAAGGAGGAGAGGGAGGGCCTGCTTACTGCCCATCCACTCTGCCTTCCTCCTTGCTGACTGCTTCCAGCACACCATTCATGAAAGACGTTGAAACTAATTCCATAGTTGCTCTTCCTCCACTCTGGTGTCTGCTTTCTCTGCAAGCTGAGATTGGTTTTTGAAAGTCCTCAGCCTCCTACTTCCCCAGCATGGCTGCCCACAGACCTCCCTCCTGCTCCCCTGGTTTTGAACAGCTAAGGCTGTGGAGCGATGCAGGAGATGCAGCTCCCTATGCAGCATGGACCACATGAGATTGCATCGGTAGCTTCTGTAGTCCAGCATCCTGTGCCATGCCAGCCAAGCATTTTTCTTAATGGTTCAAAATCAGGGAACAGCATTGTCCTGGAGGGTTTGTTTTTAGCTGAGGCAGCTAGCAGTTTGCATACAGTCATACCTAAGGGCTCGCTACTTTATTTATCCAGTGCACTGCAAGAGGTAATGTGATCGGTCTTGAGTACTGGACACCTGTAGGGCACCTGTTCTTCAAATTCTGTGGGCAGGATAGATAGTAAGGAGAAGGAGAGACCATCAGGACTCTCATGGCAACAAAAGATCACATGTATTCAGGGAATGGCCTGGGCTGCGTGCTTTGACATGATACTTGTGGTAACCCATTGAGAAACACACAGACTTAGCAGTGCTGTCCACAGAGGAGCAGGCAATGTGATCCCTCTCTCCACAGGGAACTGGAGCATATCTGCGTGCTGGGGTCTAGATGCTACACCCCTGAGACTCCTTCTGATGAATGCACGTTATCCAATTGTACTCAAACATTTCTTCCCATCTCCAAAAGCAACCACAAACCAAGATAGCAAATACAGGGACTGGGCTGGGGGTACCAAATGGTTGGCTTGTCGGTGTTTTTGCTGTATGTAGCCCCATGTTTCATTATTAAAGGTTTTGTTTTGGACTCTGAAGGCAGGTGTTTTCAACCTTTTGACAATACAGAATGTAGTTGCTCTGACTAACACGTTGAAGATGCACATGCAGGGAATCTGAGAGGCTTTTAGTGTTGCAATGGAGCCCATGCAGTTCTGCATTACTTAGCAAACAGCAGCAGCAGCAGTCAGATGAGAAGCCTGGTAATAAATCTGTTGTGAGGGTCAAGAAGGGACAATCTCACCTTGCAGTCTGCTGGCATTCCAGTTTAACCACTGAGGTATGAAAGTTGTAAAAGAATGGAAAAGCGGAAAGTGGGAGCAAGCTTAAACTCAGCTTTATTTTAGTGTTTAGAAGCTGCACTGAAAAGATGTAGAGTTTGTTAATTACTTTGGTAATTAGCACATAGATTTGTGTGCTGCTTTCCCATCCATCCCCCACAGAACCAGATTTTAGAAACAGTTCCCTTGGACATGGAAAACAGAAGTATTGTCAAGTATCTTCTCTGGAAGTTCACTTGTCAGATCTAAGATAGTGTAGTTTCACCATGTTAAAGCTGAGGCAGGATAAAATGCTGCATGTTGCTTCCTACCTTGCTCAGCAGAGATATGTTAGCAAATTCACCTCCATGTATTGGCACAGTTACAGTGCTTTGTTTTCCCAGAGGGGCCAGGCCAGTTAGCTCTCCTACTAGCCCTCCTACAAGGCAGTGACAGGGCTAATGGGCTTTCTTCTCCTGTTACTCAGTCTCATGACTGCCATTTTTTTGGTCTTAGTTTAACAGATATTTGTGGTTTTTTTCAGTGGCTTTCTTGGCATTGTTCCCCAGTAGACTCTCAGGTAATCACATGGGGCCATGTGTTGCCAGTGAATTATTTTGCACTCTGCTTAGCAGCCTGACTGGTGTATACCACCTGGAGCAACTGCTGGGTGAAAATCACACATGCATGCCTAGGAATTAAAAATCATAGGCAGTTTTCTAAGCATCTCTAGATAGGCTTTTGAGTGTGGGACGAGGGAGGCTGGAAACTTTCTGTCATTTTCATGACTTTGGGATATGGGTCATTTAGACTACCACTAAGTTAGGATGCATTGTTCTGTCTTGGCAAATATTTTGTCGAAGGGTACATACTATTTCTTTAAAAACATAGCCTGGGGGAGATGAGGAAGAGTTCTTGGCAGAAACATTTACGTTAAGCAGTGTGATAGAGCAGCCAGGGAATATATTGCATGCCAATAAAGTTCCTTCTTCAGTGTGAAAAGTGCATGCTTTGAGTGACAGTGGGTCTTTTTTTACCTTTTGATATTTTAACTTGACCCATTCATCAGTGTGTCTTTTCAGTCCTTTCCAAAGAGATGCCAAAGCTAAAGAGAATTTTTTTTTTGAGAGAGTAATCTGTGACCCAGCAAGGTTGGCTGTAAGGTTTGTTTGTTTTTCTCTCTCCCACTGGTTCCTACTATTCTCTTACTCCCACATTCTATCCGACTCTTGTTTTCAAATGCATTCTTCAGCCTTCTCCTTCCCTACCTACTGCATCCTGTGTTCTGCTTTCTGACTTCCTTCTCTTTTCTTATAGCTTTTCTTTCCAGTTCCTCTTTGTTCTGGTCCCTAAGGAGCAAGGAGTGAAACATTAACAGTTGCTGGAGTACCAAGTTAATGTGGCTGTTATGAGTTTAGAGTTCAGGTGAGGGCTTTGGGAGACATCCTCTGTGTATGACACTGTGCCCCAGAGTCCTTGGCACTGCTTCATTGCTGGGGTAGCAGAGGGGAATGTTATATCTGTGCTTCACCCACTACCATCTACAGTCCAGTATTTTAGATAAAAATACCGATAAAAGTTTATCTTTGCTAAGATATGAATGTTCCAGTTATTGCAAGTCGGTTAAGAGGCATAAATTGCTTTACTATTATCACTTTGATGTGTATCTCCTTTGTAAAAAAGAAGCTGAAAAGCTTCAGACAATATGGTAAGCAAAGCAAGTGGATTTCAATCAACACACGTCTTGATAGGGTATATGGGAGTTGTAAGTACTATGACAGTGGTTTGGAAAACACCATTTCATAGTAAATTCAGCATGTGTACCTCTGTCTTTCCAAGTTGGAGTGCTGCTTTTACATTAAAGCTCTTAGATTGGTAGGGGATACATCCGTGTGTTATCTGTACCTCTTTGTCAATTGAGGATCACCATCCTCAGAAATCCTTCCTTACAACACAGAATCATAGAATCAACTAGACTGGAAAAGACCTCTGAGATCATCCTGTTCAGGAACTTCAGGAACTTAACATGTTCAGGAACTTCCTCTGCTGATGTCAACATATCCTGAATATAAATCACAGTTATAAAATACTTACATTACTAATAATTTCTCCATGTTCCATGGGTAAGGCTGGAAAATTATCTTTCTAAGGATACATGTAATTTGTGTATTGTGAGCTTTTATAGTGAAAATACACCTTTACATACCATATAGAGAGGAGGATTTTCCAGATGAGGTTAGCTGTAGCCAAAGGTTTGATTAAGTCTGATCTTTGTGGTTTGCAAAATCTACTAAATGGAAATGTGTTTAGAGGAAGAAACTTTTTAACACAACAGTCAGTGTGCTGCCAAATTTATCTTCTTGCTAATTTTGTATGCTTGTGATGCTCAGATAATTATCAGTTGAGTGCTAATGTAATCTTCTATCCTGCTGGTTTATTTATAACCAGGATTGGTCCATTTACGTGTGGCTGCATATGGCAATTAGTTTTCATTTTTTATCTTTATGCATTTTTCTATATGCAAGACATAAGAAGGAATCCACCTTGTAAAAGAAGTTTGATATAAATGGATTGGTGAATAGATAATACCTGTCCTGTTGGAATATTATATACTTTTACCAACTTCATTCTAATAGAGAAATAAATAGAAAGAAATTAAAACCAGATGTATTTTTTATCTATAATGTATAAAATTTCACTGTGTTTCAGATTTCTAGATGATTTTATACATTTTTCATTTAACTATTTTAATTTAAAATATTGGATTTGGGAATGTAACTGCAGTAGGAAGTTATTCTGTGATTTCTTGCAAGACAACCTGAAATAAAAAAAAAAAAAAGGTAAAACAAAGGTGATTTTTAAAATGGAGAAATACATACACACACACACATATATAATAGTTTAACGCATCTCTTCTAACTTGTTTCAGGTTGAAGAAACTTCTTGAGCAGGAGAAGGTCTATCAAGCCCGGAAGGAGAAGGAACATACAAAGAGAATCAATAAACTAAGAGAAGAACTAGTCAAGCTCAAATCATTTGCACTCATGCTGGTGGATGAAAGACAAATGCATATAGAACAACTTGGTCAACAAAGCCAGAAAATACAGGACTTAACCCAAAAACTAAAAGAAGAAGACGAAAAGCTTAAAATTATTAGTGCAAAAACTAAAGAAGATGGACAAAAACTGATGAAGTTAGAGGCAGAACTTGAACACAAAACTTCATCGTTTTCTCAAGAACATGAGGAGATGACTGCTAAACTGGCTAATCAAGAGTCACATAATAGACAGCTAAGGCTTAAACTAGTGGGGTTGACTCGCAGAATAGAGGAACTGGAAGAAACTAACAAAAATCTTCAAAGAGCTGAGGAGGAACTTCAAGAACTAAGAGATAAAATAGCAAAAGGGGAATGTGGGAACTCTAGCTTAATGGCAGAAGTGGAAAACCTCCGCAAGCGTGTGCTGGAAATGGAGGGCAAAGATGAAGAGATCACAAAAACTGAATCCCAGTGCAAAGAGCTGAAAAATAAACTGCAAGAGGAGGAGCACCATAGCAAAGAGTTGAAACTTGAAGTGGAAAAACTGCAGAAAAGAATGTCAGAACTAGAGAAGCTGGAAGAGGCATTCAGTAAAAGCAAGTCTGAATGCACTCAGCTACACTTAAACTTGGAGAAAGAAAAGAATTTGACTAAGGATTTGATAAATGAGTTGGAAGTGGTAAAGACTCGAGTGAAGGACCTTGAGACATCAGAAAGCAAGTTGGAGAAGGCTGAAATAAGCCTAAAAGATGACCTTACAAAGCTGAAGTCGTTTACTGTAATGTTGGTTGATGAACGAAAAAATATGATGGAAAAAATAAAACAGGAGGAAAAAAAGGTTGAGGGTCTAAACAAGAATTTTAAAGTTGAACAAGGGAAAGTTATGGATGTAACAGAGAAATTGATAGAAGAAAGTAAGAAATTTTTGAAACTGAAATCTGAAATGGAGGAAAAAGTGTCTAGTTTGACAAAGGAAAGAGATGAGTTAATTGGCAAACTGAGAAGTGAAGAAGAAAAATCCTCTCAACTAAGCTGTAGAGTTGACTTGTTAAAGAAAAGAATTGATGGTGTGGAGGAGGTAGAAAGAGAAATTACAAGAGGTCGAACCAGGAAAGGACCAGAGCATGGTTGTCATGAGGACAACAAGATTAAGGAACTCACCGTTGAAATTGAAAGACTGAAAAAACGTCTCAAACAATTGGAAGTGGTTGAAGGAGATTTGATGAAGACAGAAGATGAATATGATCAGCTAGAGCAGAAATTTAGGACTGAGCAGGATAAAGCTAACTTTCTTTCTCAACAGTTGGAGGAGATGAAACTCCAGATTGCCAAAACCAAAGCAATAGAAAAAGGTGAAGTGGTGAGCCAGGAGGCAGAGCTGAGGCACAGGTTTCGTCTGGAAGAGGCCAAAAGCAGAGATTTGAAAGCAGAAGTTCAAGCTCTTAAGGAAAAAATCCATGAGCTGATGAACAAAGAAGACCAGCTTTCTCAGCTCCAAGTTGATTATTCAGTTCTGCAGCAAAGGTTCATGGAAGAAGAAAACAAGAACAAGAGCATGGGGCAGGAAGTTCTGAACCTAACAAGAGAGCTGGAGCTTTCTAAGCGTTACAGCCGTGCTCTGAGGCCCAGCATAAATGGCCGAAGAATGGTCGATGTCCCTGTGACATCCACTGGCGTGCAGACAGATGCCGTAAGCAACGAAGCGGCAGAAGAAGAAACTCCAGCAGTGTTTATAAGGAAATCCTTCCAGGAGGAGAATCATATCATGAGCAATCTGCGACAGGTAGGTCTGAAAAAACCCATGGAGCGTTCTTCAGTGCTCGAGAGATACCCTCCAGCAGCAAACGAGCTTGCTATGAGGAAATCTTGGATACCGTGGATGAAAAAGAGGGAAACTGGGGCTCAGGCAACTCCTGATAAAGGAACCCGGACCCACAGTAGTCCAGCACATCCTGGAGAGGTTGTCCTTTCACCAAAACAGGGTCAACCTCTTCATATTCGGGTGACACCAGACCATGAGAACAGCACAGCAACTCTGGAGATAACCAGTCCAACCGCAGAGGAATTTTTTTCAAGTACCACTGTCATTCCTACTTTGGGAAATCAGAAGCCACGAATAACCATTATTCCCTCTCCAAACGTTATGCCACAAAAAGGAAAAGGCAGTGAAAGTCCCATGGGCCCAGATCGTTCTATGTCTCCAGTCACTATAACAACGTTCTCCAGGGAAAAGTCCCCAGAGGGAGGGAGAGCACCTTTCGCTGACAGACCTGTGTCGCCAATTCAGATTATGACAGTATCAACATCTGCAGCACCAGCAGAGATCTCTGTCTCCCCACAGTCACAAGACATGACCATGGGAAGGGCTGTCTTCAAAGTAACACCAGAAAAGCAAACTGTCCCAACTCCAATCCGCAAGTACAATGCCAACGCCAACATTATTACGACAGAAGACAACAAAATCCACATCCACTTAGGTTCCCAGTTTAAACGTTCTCCCAGTGCTGCACCTGATGGTGCGAGTCCTGTGATAACAGTGAGACCAGTGAACATAGCAGCAGAGAAAGAAGTTGTGACCGGTACCGTCCTTCGATCACCTCGAAACAACCTGTCCTCGCGACCCGCAGCGAGCAAGGTGACAAGTACCATCACTATAACGCCTGTTACAATGTCTTCCACCCGAGGAACACAATCAGTGGTAAGCAGCCTACTCTCACGATGTAGTCCTCATGGTAAGGAGAAGGGCAACTGTAGTTTGGATTTGAGACACCAGCAGGAAAATGGGTGAGGTGAGGAGAAACTCTTGACTTCTCTACATTTGTTTCAGATATGAGTTTAATTAGGAAGTCCCTTCAAAGTTACTTTCAAGTTATTTTCTTAATGGCAATCCAGTAAAATTGCAAGTGAGAGAGAGAGAGGCAAAGAATGATGGAGATGACAGAGTAGGAAACTCATTTTTTATTTTCGGTGAGTGCAATTTCTGACTTTTGAAAATACTCTTCATGTTTTTTGGCCCGGCTGGCAGGTCTTTAGACTGATCATGCAGGCTGGTGTTTCTTTTGTATAATCCCATTATAGTTATAATTCAGTTAATGTCTGCTCTAATACTGAAGTCCAAAGGAATAAGTAAGGAGACATATTATCATTGCTTACAGCTCCAAGCCTCTTTCAGCCAGTGAATATTTGTTCCTCTGAACTTCTGCAATACAATAGTCTTCCTCTAACATATTTTTTGTTCTGCTTTCTCTCTGGGCTTCTGTGGTGGTACCCCAGCTTGCTTTTCCTACTTATATCAGTTTCTCATCTCTGTCTTTAACCACAGTCGACAATATTTATTGATAATCCTTCCCCCAGTTTATTACTGGATGCAGTTTTGTGTTCCTTTAGTTAGAAATACCCTGGGAAAGAAGAATTTAACCGAAGCAGAAAACCATCAGTACTGTATTAGTCCAAAAACTTATTTAGCTAGACAGAGTCTGCAACAGATGCTTAGGGGAAGATTATTTTAAGTGGGTAAACACACAGTAATGTTCCTCTCAGCGTCTGTTCCCAGTTTTTGGCAATAGGTGGTTATTTCTTTTTGAACCAAGGCCTGTAGCAACATCTTTGTCTTTAATAGACCGTGGCTGAGTTTTCTTCTATTTATTCTTTAAATTACTTTTTGAACTCATTTATACCGTTGTTTCCACAACATCAGGGGGCAGTGAATTCAGTTGTGGGCTTTGGAAGAGATGCTCTTTTGTTCAATACCTTTTATGCAATACCTTCATTGTTTACAGCCTCTTTCTTGTATCTTGACAAATACTGAACAGACATCCACTGTTTGTTTGCCCATGCAGCTCAGGAGTCTGCAGACCCCTACAACATGCCTCTTCAGCCATCTCCAAGCTGAAATATACATTTAAGATACACTTCCACACCTTTGCGGAGAGGCTGCCATTCCCATTTAAGCCTTCTGATATTAAGAAAACTTGCATTCATCATAGAGATCTGTTTGGGGTTGCACATGTGCTATCTCTCTCCTCGCATATATGTGTATTGTTGTACATTTACTGTGCAGTGCTTTCCTACATATTAGAGGCAACTGTTCATTTTTTAAAAAGTCTTGAATTAATTAATTTACAAACTCCTTTGTCTCTCAGAAGCTTGGAAAACTTGTTTTTAAACTTTTCTTTTTAACTAGATGTCTGTCTCTACTGTGATGATGCACTGATCCATGGCAGACAAAACTTTTTTTTTTTTTCTTTTTTTTTTTCTTTTTTCTGGCTAAAATCTGGCTTCTTTCTTCACTTCATCCTCCCTGATTTGCAATGTAAGGAAAATAGCTCAACCATAAGATTTACTTTATCTTATGCTTCCCTCTGCTTTTTAATGTCCCTAGTCAGATAAGCAGGCAACTTCAAACAAGCCCAAATGTGCCTTTTCCTCCCCAGACTCCTGGGGAAAAAAGAAAAAAAAAAAAGAAAAAAAAAAAAAGAAACAAAAAGAAAACAACAAGTTGCGTATTCCCCATCTGTTTTGCAAATGAAAACTTTACAGTTAGAAAAAACAAGTATCTGATAATTTACTCAGTAACCCTAGCAGAAACCAACACTGATGCAATTTTGAACGTTTAAAATAATAAAATCAAACAAGACAAACTGATACGCAGCTGCTTTCTTTAGCTCACTGGGTTTAATTTTTGTCTTAATGTTCCTCATCCAAGATGCTTTGTACAATGTGCTAATGCAGTGCCAAGCTACAAACGGGAAGTCTGAAATTCCTAGCTCCCATCTGTTCCTATAACAGATTTACAGTTGCTGTTTTCCTGTTTGAAAACATTTAGTTTTTCCCATTTGAATTTACAGAGTAATCTTCAGTACTGCAAGTGCACAGACAGTACTTTTAAATGTTCAGCCTGAACTGTGGTGTCCCTCTGTATATGTGAGTCCAAAACCAGAGTCTGTGATTTCATTGTGAACTTTCATGATTTTTGAATCCCATGAATCCCATGGATTAAGAGGGGTTCTGGTTGTATTGATTTACACTGACATACTCTCTGTAGAGTATCTAGAGATTTATATTTTGTTATATAAAATGAGACTCTGTCCACAGAAAGCCACAGGCATCTGAAGGAAAACATGGGAAATTTTTGAGCACTTAGTAAAAAAAAATCAAACAAGGCACCAATCAGTGACAGTATCTTCACTGGCACCGGGACTCACTGGACTCAAATGTTTTGGAAGTGCTTTGTGTTGTGCCTGCTGGACAAGCCCAGGGCTGGCCAGCTGAACAGCAGGTCTCATCACACCAGTCCCACAGGGGTCTCCATGGCAGGAGCTGATGTGATGGAGACTGTTTGATCAGTTGGATTGAATTCTGCATTTAACAGAACCATCACCACTTTGATGAAAAAAAAAAAAAAAGAACCAAACCCTAAAGCAGTAGTTGCCTTTTCTATGGCAGCCTATGGATTTGGACAGTTCCTACGGAAGTAGAAAAATGGGGTGTTGGTTCTCCTTAGCTTGATTAGAGTCAAACCCACTCTTAGGGAGATACTTGAAATACCCTAGCAGACCTAGGAGATTATTTTTTAATTACAGGTGGACCACACAGGATATTGAGACCAAAATGAGGCTGAAACTGTAGCCTGGTTGTTAGTCTTGCCTTAGCACATTGGCTCGAATTCCTGTTCCCAGCAGAGTTCATACAGTTTACAGTAAAAATCCCACAGAATAAAAACAAATATTCTTTGTGGACAAAACCCCAAACAAACTGTGGTGCCTACATCCTGTTTTTGATTCAGGCCTTATATTTGGTTGTAGTATTGCTGGTGAATTCGGATCTTCTTTGGCTACCAGGATAGGTGTCAGTCCTATAATCACTTAATCCCTGCGCTCCCCACCTCCTACAAGCCTGGCATCAGTGCCAGCTGTTTATGCTGCCAGGGTACACAGTGACTTCAGTGCCATGCAAATTTGCAGGAAGCAGAGGGAATCCTGGCTGCAGCAGAGCCAGCATAGTGGCACAGCACCAACCATGCAGCATGTCCTGTGACCGGGGCAGGAAGGCACAGCTGAGAGACTGTTGGGTGCCAGAGAGAACTGGACACACATTTATGCAGCTATAAGGCTACTTTCATTTGGGCAGCATTTAGTATGAGCTCCACATCTAAATGTAGCTCTTTGTAGGTATCCCAGATATGCGGTAAGCATCTGCTAGAGCTGCTACTGCTGCTGGAGATCCAGGGGTCAGCTCACTTGCTCGTGCAGAGGTGTGTGGTGCTGGCTGTGTGTCCTGTGGCAGTGGAAACACACACATGAGGCTGGGAGGTATAGCACAGACCTGTACCTTTCTGCTATGGCAGCTGATGGGATACCTCAGATGGCACAGGATGCATCAGTGTGGGCAACTGAGTCACCCTGTAGTCATCATTCCCCTTGTCAGCGCTGAGGCCTGCATGCTGGCTCCATGGAGACTGGGGTGTGATTTCACCTGAGACATGGTTAGCTTCAGCATGAGCTGAATTGCCCATTGGGCTCCACTGACTGTACCGGCTAAATCTCCAGTCCCACCCTTTCACGATTCAATTGCCTAAACATACTTTTTTAGTGTAATTTTAAGTGTCTACCTAACTTTCAGCTGCTGTATCAGAGATTGCATGTCTCCTTGGGTCCTGTGGCTTATCTACCAGCTCTGTGCACATAGCTTGAGTAGCCCAGGGCATCTCAAGTTGTACTAGGTGTCTGCTGGTCACTGAACTGAACCGTTTCTGTCCAGGGTAAGCTGGGCCCTGATCTGATCAGGAACAAATGCTGAAAATCACCTTTGTTCCAGAAGTCAATGTATGCATGAAAGCACTGGTGTGTGTCAGTAAAATGCACTAAGCAAGATCTGTTACAAGCAAGATCTGTTACAAACTGCTAAAACATGCTAAATGATCTGTACATTCAAATTGCTTTTCTTCCTTTAATGGGACTGTCCAGCCTTACTGCAGCTTCACAGGTTAATACACCTGCCAGTGTCCTTGGTGAGGGCTGATGATTGACTGAACCAACCTAGCAGCTGTGAATGTTCATCTCACTCTCAGTAATGCCTTTAGTAACCTCACTTGGGTCCCCTTGGTGTTCCAACACCACTTACTGCCTCAGTAGCTCAGAGCCAGCCCGCATCACCCAGCATCCCATGGGTCTCATCTCCGGCGCTCCATACCAGCTATGTAAGAGTTCCTTTCTGTTTGGAGCCACATTCCTGGATCAAGCAAAAGGCAGCAGCCTGCAGACCAACAGAGCTGGGAAGGAATGGTCTAGAGCTTGGTTCTTGGAAGGAATGACGAAGAGACGAGAGAGCCGTGTGGGTTTTCTGGCAGACAGGACTGACACAGGGAGAGTGTCCTCTGCTTGCCTGCCCCATCACGCACCCGTGGGGACTGCAGACTGGAGAGGCACCTTTGTGCCATTTCACTTGGCAAGCACAAAATACTTAAGCAGCTGCGTGTGAAGCAGGCATTAGCTTCCATAGGATGAACATGTTAGTATGCTGTAAGGAAGGCAACTAAGAAATTTAAAGCAAGTCAGAGTCCTTTTCAAAGTGCTTTTGAGTGATTTAGGCTTGAAATGAGTAACTTGAAAGCGCCCAAATCCTCAGTTAATAATTTACATGTGAATAAAGCTGAAGAAATGCCTGAGATTCCAGCTACTCCATTTGATTGCCTCATGTTTACACACTGTGAAACTCTTTCAGGGAGTACAAGATGTTTGTCATTTGGGTTCCCTGGGATGTTGACATATTTTCCAAGGCTGATGGAATGCATTTGCATGTTTTGCCCTACAGAATTGTATGGCCCTAACTTGTTTTGACATCTACATGTGAGTTCCATATTAGCCTTTACACTGCTATTGTAAATGTTGCTCTTAGTTATTGAAAATGGCTTCCTTCCTGTCAAGCAGACCGCATTCAAGTTTTCCAATTGTGATTTTTTTTGAGTGTACACATGGGGTTTTGAACTGTTCTTAGAAGATTAAGGAATAGTTTTCCTTTGGCTACTCAGGATACAGACAGAAAGCTCTGATGATACTGACTGAAAAATGTTTGAGAGAAAAGTGCTCCTTCACTGAGCATTTTTAAGAGCATTTTTAATTAAAATGTGCAAGTGCATGTTTCAGCTGACATGATCCCCTAATCCGATCTATTTCAGTAGTTTTATTTTGCTTATATGTCATAAGTTGCAGGGTTTAGTAATTCAGCAGATGGGTCTAGCTAGAATTCCAGGACCTTATGAGAATTGTTCTCTTTCATTAGATCAAAGTCTTCATCCATTATCTGAACAGAAAACAGTCACATATGAAAGTCAGCAGAGACACTGAAGCTGTCACAATTAACATGTGTGTCTGTATTGCACACTGCAGGAGATAAAGCCCAGTTTACTTTCAGAGCTGTCATGTTTAGAAGTATTCTCTTTAGGTCATGGATCATAGGGGGTAGCTTCCAATTTTGACCTTGCAGAGTATATGCATCATTATCTGGCCAACAGAGACAGAAAATGCAGTTCGCCCTTTTGAATCTTTCATCCTATCCAAGTACTCCTTGTGTGTTTACAGGGTGGGATTCAGTTGCCTAACCATATGAACTGATTGCAATTTCAAAGCTATGGGATAGCTCTGTCCTGGCCTCTGGCTTGGGCTCCAGGAGGGCACATGAGCTGTGTGGGGGGTCTGCCAGCCCCAGGCCAACCACTTAGGCTATTTTTATGGTGTTCTTTTTTTAATTCTCAAGTACTCACACTTGAGGATAAGTGTGCTTGGTAGGCTGTTGTCCAGGGCAGCAGATTGGCAGAAACAGTAAAACAACCATGTCCACACTGCCATGAGGTATCCCTGGAAATCTGGGTTCGCTGATTTGCCTTCATGAGAGTCCATCAAGCTGTGGGTAGGCCTAGAGGGGGAGAGCCTTTTCCTACATCCTTCCTACCACATCAACAAGAAAAGGAAATCCCAGTCTTTGCTCTGTCTCTTTCTCTCAACCCCCCCTGCTCCTCCAGTGCAGAGATAAGCGGCCCCAGCCATGACCCCAGCATACTTTGGGAAGTAAAATTCAGTTTTATCTGTAATGCTAAGCGATCGTGCACCAGCTCTGAAAATATGGCAGTTACCCTGGGTTCAACGTTAGCCTTACGTGGCTGTACTGTTTTGAGGACCTTGTTAGTCTCTGTACACAATGCTAATATTGTACCTGTCTGAGAACTAAGCCAGTGTTCTAGTATCCTCTAAGGTCAACCTGCACTGTGTTGCGCTGTGAAATGGGAGTTTTGCAAGGATTCCCATCCTGATCCCATCTTGATCCAAAACACTGAAGCTCAGATCTGGGAAACTCATTGAAACTGTACCTTCAGCCATATTCTAGCAGTACGTGTGCCACAGCCAGATTCCAAATGTGAACATTACTTATGCTAATGGGTATGATTTGGAATAGTGTTGCTTAAGAGATAAATGAAGAACCAATGAAAAGTGTAAGGTAAGCATATTTGAGAAGAAAAAGTCCTCTATTCATGACATTTTTCTCCATCTCTCTCTTTTGCAGACAGGACAGGATGGGTCATCCCCGAGACCTACACCCACTCGCATTCCTGTGTCAAAAGGTATGAAAGCAGGAAAGTCAGTAGTGGCAGCCCCGGGAGCAGGAAATGTGACAAAATTCGAGCCTCGTGCCGAGACTCAGTCTATGAAAATAGAACTGAAGAAATCTTCAGCCAGCAGCTCTGCCTCCCTGGGCGGGGGTCAGGGCTGATGGCAGTGGCTCAGGGGGTACGTTCTGCAGGTTTTACTGCTCCCATGGAAGTCAGCCCCCCTGTCTGTGTAGTTGCTCACGTTTGCCTGTACTAACGAAGTCCTACAGCTGTCACTTACAAAAAACTAATAAGTGTGTGCACTGACTACTTAAGTAACAACATCCTTTTTTTTTTTCTTGAACTCCAGTTTAAAAAAGAAAAAAAAAGCCATCATAAAGGCAGTTCTTGTACGCCAGGAAGATTTTCAGTCTCGGAAGTGGGAATGGTGCAGCTACACTAGGTTATTAATCTAGTTCAGAAAGTCTTAATAATGGATGTGGTCATTTGAAGGAAGTTGGTTCACTTTTACTGTTTGTCTTCCACGTTAATGGATCACTTTCCACCTTTGCTGCTGCATGGGACACTTTCCTTCCTGCCTGTGATCACATTATTGAAATGCCACTTGGCCTAGGGAAGAAATGCCAGGAGACAGTGGACCTGAGGTCCTGTTTTACTGAAAGCTAGTACCTCAGCTGTGGGAGGGAGGGGAAGAGAGAAAGAATGGGCACTGTGTGACCCGCCTTCTCTCTAGGAGCCTCCCATCCAAGTCAGTGTTTCTCAGTGGTGAGGTGCTTTCTCAAAATAGTTACTTAATTCAGGGGCATAGGGATGTAGCACAATGTTTGGCAGCAGCACTGTTAAGCACCAACTTAATTCTTCCAGAGGGGATTAACATATGTAGACAGTACTCAAAACCAGGTCCCTGACTTACACACACTGAGTACTGCCAGCTCAGGGCTCAGATGAAGCAACGTGAGCCAACAAGTGTTTAGTCTTTAGCAAAAGATGAAGAAACACTGATTTGGCTAAAATCAGTGCCTGCTCCAAAGACCACTAGCACTATGAAGCAATTCACTACGTTGACCTGACTAGTTTTCCAGTCGTTGTTTTCTTTGCTGGGGTCTTATATTTAAACCTTAGTTGTCAAGCATCTGTATGTCTTAGAGGGGAAGTCAATACAGATGGCTGGTGGCACAGACAGGTAGAGACAGTGAAAGAGAGAGGGTATGACAAGGAAGTTACTCTCATTTTTCAGTTCTTTATAATATTTTGTCATAAACACAGATTGCCTCACAATACCATGGTGATGCATTGTTTTTCCTTCCTTCTTTGTAATTTCCTCATTTATATGCTTGCATTTTTTAAGCATGTTCTAAGGAATTGTTCCAGCATGGAAATAGTGTGGATGCCCATGATTGTCATGATTGTTTATTTATTAACAGTAAAGTTATTAAAAGACATGTCCATTAAGCAATCAATTTCCACAGAAGAAAGTCTCATCCAAAAGAAATGGAGCCAAGCAGACCGATAAGTGATCGGTTTAAAGTTTGTATAATGCTTCAACCATCTCAGCGAGCTGTGAAGGACCCAGTGGCTGAAACAGCTTTCAGAAAGCAAGGCGGGAAGACCACCCATAAATAATAAATACAATTCACCAAAAGGAAAATGCACCAGTGGGTGAAACATGAAATGGATTTTTGTCTGGGAGAAGAGATTTGCTGAAAGAATTGGTCACAGAAGGTCAACAAAATTATACTCAATCCAAGCAGTGTTTAGTTTTCAGTCTGTGCTTTGCATTGCTCTCCAGTTTAAGATTCAGATATAGCAATTAGCTGACCATAAAGCTGGTATTTTATTATTTGTATGAAGGGAATTTTTTTGTCACATCAAAAAAAAGTATGTTGGTTTGGGGTTTTTTTTGCAATGTAGTATCTACAATACCTGTTAATTTTAAGGTTCTGCTTCCTATGGCATCCAAAAATCAGATTAATATTTGTAGCATTTTTCCTAACACCCTATTCAGTATTTCAGATAAAACTTGAAAACTGGAATTATCAAGCAATGTGAGTTTCAGAAGTACATCAGATGATCTCAAGTAATTCTTATCACTTGAAAGCCTCAGTATGTCAATAAATTGTTGCTGAGATCTTGCTGTTCTTGTTGTAACACGGACTTTTTAACAGATGTTTGAAGAAAACACATTTTTAAGAGCTTTCTGCTGGATATTCACTCTAAATACTGGCACTGAAGCAAGTCTTAAGGTCAAAACAGTCATTTAAATAATATTGTGAACATGAGCCCCAAGCTAATGTGGCTTGATACAGTGATGAACTACAGCTGCCTTAAGCCTTCCTTATGTCAAAGAAACTTAGTTAACTGTCGCTGCACCCAAGGCAATGTTCTGTGCGTGCCTGTGGTTGAAAAATTTGTTTTTGTTTGAGGTTTAAGAAAATAATTCACCTGAAGAAACAAGCCAGCCTCACAGTACCTGAAATCCAGAGCACACAGAATGGTTCAACTAGAGCCAGAACTGCAGGCACAATCTGGGGATTGCTCCTGTGGAGTCAGTAGGATTTGATGAGACAGATTAGAGAAATTCCAGACAGGTCAGACTGACGATCCTGTTATTTTTCCCAGGGGGAGCACAAAAAAAAAAAGAAACTTTCACTCCACAGCAGAAACCTAAAGAGTTGGAATCAGGCAGCTGGTTTAACTGTTAGCTATAAATAGGTATTTAGTTATAACTTTTAACATCTGTTATAATTGAACTCATACTTGTTTCTTAAAGGTAGAAGAAGGCTAAGATGAAGAAAAAAGAAAGCCTATAGTTCAGAAATCTTAACATTTGAAGTGTAACTGTATTATATTGGAATTTCCTCTAAATCTGAAGGCAGTTAAGTTTAGTGAGTATGGTAAGATTCTCCATTCAGTAGGTCAGCTCCAGAAGGCAGTTTAAACAACCAAGTCTAAAGACAATGCCTAAGCCCCAGAGGCATCTTGAAGATCTTCTTGATGTTCTTCCACTGCCTTTGTCTAGTCACTGTTTCTGTTGTGAGTTAACTCTAGAACTGCAGCCTCTGAACCTCACCAAGATCCATAACCAGGTAGTCCTGTATTTCTTCTAAGGCCTTCTAAGTCAAGCCACAATTTCATGGTCACTTAAAGTCGGGATGTAATCCCACACTATAGTGAAAAGCTGTGGTCCTGTCTTTGTCACCTCCAGCCAAGAAAGTACTCAGTCACTTAACATGTGGTTGTCCCTTGAGCTGGCACAAGTGTTTGAACTTAACTGGGGAACTGATCTGAATTAAAAGGAATCTGGCAAAAAGAAGAAAGGCTAGCTTCGACATAGCTTAGTTCCAGGCTCTCAAGCCAGAAAAAGAAAGAAGGAAGGCACAGGAAACCAGCGGCTGTTCTAAAATGACTGTGGAATCATGAATGCTTCCTAGTAGATAAATACCACAGAAATGCAGGGGTAGTGCTGCTTATTTTAAAAAGTCTTTGATTGAAACCTTTTTTCAAATGTAGGAGACAGATCCCCCTTCCCACCAATATCTGAGGAGACTCAAATCCACATCAGCTGCGGGCAGGTTCACCAATGGCACTGACAGACTGAGGGGGGGAAGAAGGTGGCATTCTTACTCCCTCCTTTTGAAGGCTGTGCCGTTCTGCATGAAGTGCTTCAGTATTCACTGAGCAGAAACAAGTGAGTGGTTGAGTGGTCAGAATATTGAACTAGGAGGAGGGAGCCCCCCTGTTTTCATGTCCCTGTTCCAAAGGCTGCCTTTGAGCCCAGCCTTTTGTGAAAAAAAAAAAGCTTATAAGATGAAGTGTCTGTGTTCATCCATCGTTCCATCTGTCCTTCCCTGATGAATAACACTGAACACATCAACCAATTTCAACCAAACATAACAAAGCAATAGTGGTCTCCAGCATAAGAAGTTCTTCCAGTTTAATGAAAAGGGCAGCAGAGAAGAGGAGCAAGATCTTAGCAGTGCCCCACTGTGCGGAAGAGTGGAGCATGAGCTCACCTTCATACAGCATCGAAGGATGAACACAAGAGAGTGATGTCAGAAGTACCAAAAGGACAAGCGTTGTTCAAACCTCAGATTTGACAAGTCAACAAAGAATCAAACTCTGATACACCAATCCATAGGAAAATACTAGGGCCTTTATTTACTTTATTTGTATGTAAAATTTACATGTTACATTTTTGTATTCTACATTAGTGGATTATAATGTGGAAAACAAGCTTTCCTAAGTGATCATCTGGAATGACTCATCCTCATACTTTCTCTCTCTTAGCTTTTTCTCTGTCATTTTGTTTGATTACTTTTTTTTTTTAAATTAAGTGCAACTATTTCAGTGGCAAAACACACTCAGCTCAGAGCCATAATGATAGTTACAATGCTTCGTCAGGAAATTAAGGTGGCTGAGAACCAATCTTTGCATTTTCAGTGGTTTTCAACATCAGCTGGAGAGATATCCTGTTTTGGCTGATGGCATGGCCATGGAAGCAGTTGTGATAACTCAAGCCAAGCAATGGGAACATAGGGCTTAGGACAGCAGTAAGGTGGAGAGGGGGAAGAGCAGGGAAGATGCCAGCTCATTCATGAGCAGCACACATGGACCAAGAAGATGCACCCTCAGTTCTCCAGGTGATATCTCTGATTTTAAATTTAGTTCCTAATAAGTTTTCTGCTGTGTTTCCTACGTTGGATCCCGTCATCGGAATTACTGCTACATATGAGTTAGTAGCAGATCAATACATTTGAGTAAGTGTGACTAAAAATGAAGGAGCACAGAGCTTCAACCCTCATGCCTGAGGGATTTCTCTCAAGATCGGTAAATGCTAAGTTAACGCTAGAGGACAAGCAGATTTTTGTATTTATTTTGCCCAGCTTTTTCCTTTTGTGACACCTGTTAGTGTGATTTTTTAAAAATCAAACAACATGTTGTGACTCTTCTGAATATGCCCATAGAATATGCATGTGTTTAAACTGCAAACCACTTACAGCACATAGTAATTAGCATCATGTGAGTAATCTCTAAAGCCACATTAATGTATTGATTTGTGCCAACTGGATGCCAAGTCATAAGTCACTGCCTGAAATACGCTACTTATGTTCAAAAACATGCTCAATATTTACATGAATATTCAGTAGTTCTGATCAGATGTGGAAGAGCATGTCTTTGAAGAGAGTGAGCTACTGTCCTGCTGGGTTTCAGGTACTTGGCATAAACCGTAACAGTCAGGACAATTTTCAGACCAATTATATGTTCCCATCACACATCAGTGGCCAATTTCAGTGAGTTGCTTTGAAATACGTAGTTTGCTGGCAGGAGTTTCTGTGAGCTCATCTTTCAAACTTGTTTTCATTTAGGGGAATGGCTTTTTCCCCTACGTCAGCGTGAGTTATCCTTGTTCCCTTAATTTTGCCTGAGCTCTCTAAGGCAAAACTATATGCAACATTTCTCACTACAGATGTTGACTTCACTTTGAATCTTACTTCCTACACACTGCTCTTAACTTGGCTTTTTTTGAAAAATGCCACCAGTGTTAACTACTGTGAGGTGCAGAGCTATCAGCTCTGGGAGTCAGGTGTGAAACACTCAGGTGTGAATCGTTCTCCAAACAAAAAATACTCACATTGGGATTTAAAAAATAGAATTACTGATGTATGTACTCTTCTGTTGCTTGGGCGTGTGCTGTCTGTTGCACATACATTTTTGTATTATCTGGTGTTACTTGTTTGTATATATTGTAAGAAGAAATTAAACTTTGTATGTTAAAATGCCAGTCAGTTTATGTGCTTCATTATATGAACTGCAATCCTGATATGTATCCTGGAGAAGTTCTGATTTACATCAGCGGAACTGAAAGCAGAATTAGCTGTTTCACATTAACCTAATTTTCCTGTCATTAAAATAAATTGTTTAGGTTAATTCATAGCTCTATTTCTACAGAGGCTGGTCCAAAAGAACTCTAATAAAATATGCCCTACTCTAATTTTAGCTTAATAGCTGCTCAGACACCTCTTTTAGTAACTACATTATGTGTTATAATATATATGTTTATATATATGTAAGCATTTCAAATACAAACAACTGATAGACAATTATTTGATTTTTTACAAATTCTTTCTCCTACTCTTTTATGCAAAATTGCTATGTTGGGCCGGTAGGAGGA